CAGAACAATGACACACTGACACTTGGGGTGTCCAGAACAATGACACACTGACACTTGGGGTCCCAGAACAATAACACACTGACACTTGGGGTCCCAGAACAATGACACACTGACACTTGGGGGGTCCAGAACAATGACACACTGACACTTGGGAGGTCCCATAATACATGTAATGGTGGGTTTGGTGCGGGGTGGTCAATGAATCTTCCCCGGTGACTCTGCAATGCCAGCCTATTATGAATGAATAGTTCATGTACATTAGGAGACTATCACCTTACACTCGGCAGCCACCCCAGCCCGGCTATCCCTCCCACCAGGCCCCCCCCATATTGGGAACACCAGCTGCAGAAATGGGTGAATGCTGCTATCCATAGAACGGCCATATTAACCCTTGTAGAACCAGGATAACCAAATACACAACATCTAGTGTTGTAGGATTAGGTTCAGAGCAGCTAAGGATGCCCGGAGCCCCTCTGATGAAAGAGCTGGTTGTCCCGGCATGAAGCGCAGGCCGCTCAATATATTACATTTCCACTGCAACCATTAAATTGGACCCGTCAGTAACTTTACTACTCATGAATACATTTATGTCACAATATACAGTAACGGGATCATTTTTTTCAGGAAAGCTCCACTTTTCCTCAGTCTCCAGAGATCAGTCTGCAACATTGTAACTTTGTAGCCAGTCTGCAGCAGGGGGCTGATCTGTTTCGAGCGTTTGTGAACCCAGCCAAGAACTGCGCAGACACCGCGATTGACGTGCTTGTGTCATCTCTGATCCGCCATATCGGTCCAGGAAGTGGACGGTGACCCTGGATGATGCCTGGACAAAGATGGCGCCCTCCTTCTGGAGAGTAAATCGGATGGAGGCATTGTCCGGGGGAGTCATGTGATCTCTGTGAGAAGGAATAACATACCTGGAAGGGGTCACTCTTCGCGGATACTCTGCACACTTTTTGCTGCGTCATTTTTTAATGGTTTCCACAAAGGTTTTACCTGGAAATTTACTGGAAAATGGTCTTTATAAATAGATTTTAATTGTAACTGTTGCTGACTTCTGCGGGTTCACCTGATTACATTCATACGGTGTGATCGGTTATTGTGGGGGAGGGTCCAGGCGTGATTGGCGTGCGGCGGCGTTGGGTGAATGATTTGCGATGAATGGGAAGCATGTGCGGAGTTCCTCATAAAAGTGTATTTATACCCAGCGGATTCTATATCTGTCTTCCACCATCTAATCACCTGCCGGCCCTCCTGTGGCCCCTCGGCCCCTGGGTGGGGCTCCCTGGTTGTACGTAGCCGTCGGTGGGAGCTTGGCACGCTGGGCGCTGCCCTCCTGTCCCTGTCAATCACATGACACAGACAAGTGTATGACAGCGGCCCAGCAATGTGCAGACAGCTGGATGTTTACGACCGAGCGCAGCCCAAACGTGCAGCAAACCCGAACCTTTTATATCAATTCAACCATTTGCTGCTCAC